TAATGTTTTGCTTCATTCGAGACAATTTATTAAACCCACCATAACATCAGAGGATGCATCTGTGAATAACGATACCCTGATCAGTGGAAAAGGGCCATAAATAAAAAGAAAAGGTCTTTGAGTGAACCTTATCAAATCCACAAAAGAATGAGTCCTGAAGATGCCTAAAGATATCGACTGTGAGCGCTGCAAGTATAAATGTACACCCAAATTTAGTTCGGAAGATAGGCGAAAATTATGTTCTAACTACTGGCTATTAGATTATAATAGACAAAAAGATTACATCTTGGCTTGTGTGAAATCAGTTAAACCTAAATGTAGACAGCCTCGCACTGATACAACACCTCCAAACCTAGCTAGCAGATCATATTTTTTTAAAAGATATCCACAAGAAATCCGTAGCATAAGTCACGGACCCGTTGACCATGCCTTGGGTGGAGTAAATGAATATGGCTTATTTCACTTACCAGACAGACGGGGTTGCGAAGCACCAGGAAATAAAACACCACAGGAGCTAGAAGAAAAAGTTATGCACCATATCGAAAGTTTCCCCACTCTTGAATCCCATTACTGCAGGAAATCTAACTGCCGGAAATACTTAGATCCTAGCTTATCAATCACAAAAATGTATCAATTATAAGTTTGCGACAGCAAGAACGAACCAAAGGTTTCTGAAGCGACGTATCGACGCATGTTTTGCAGTAAATATTAGCTTTTTTTAAGCTTAAAAAGGATCGATGTTCCACTTGTGAACAATATAAAAATAAACTCATCCTCAAACGATAAGCATTTTGTTAGTATAACTTTCGATTTGCAAAGTCTCCCAGTTTTATTACTGTATGAAATTATGTGCATTTAACTTGACTGTGTATGAAGCAGTCAGATACCTGCAGCGGTCAAAATCGCAATCAGTACATAGCCGCTTTATTTCTATACTTGGTACAAAATAGGCATTTATCAAGCATACAACATAAATTTTTGGAAAAAGGTTGGGGGTAGATTCAATGCACATCGCCATAGAGTCTGCTAGAAAACATGTTGCTATTTTTTACTATGAATGATTTACTTAATGTGTTCCGATTGGCTCGCTCTAAGCGCCTTAGTAATAAGAAGGAACTAAGATTCGCAGATTTTCTAGATTTAAAATCACTTTCAAGTGCTTTCTTGAAAAACAGATTGAAAGACGAGAGTGGTGGTAAGATATCGTGGATGAAAATAAAAGTTATGCGTTACGAGAAGGAAAATCCGGGCCAGATTCTCTTTAAATATAACTATAGCCAAGTAGAATTCAAAATTATCAATATTTTTGGCCGAGCGCGATTAAATGCAATTCCGAAAGATATACCAAAATTATACAAAGGACATTTTGGCATTTCCGAGAAGAAGAAAAAAGTATTTTGAAGCTTTGTACTCAAAACGATATTCACCCAGAATATCACTATTGGTACCAAGCTCTACCAGTTGACAAGAAAAAGAGAAATACCGTCCCAGAACCTGCAGAAAGTGAAAGTGACACAGAATCTAACTCGGATTAAGTGATTCAATAATGTAATGATTATCTTGTTTTTTGAAAAAAAAAATATTTTTCTTTATGATTAATAAATTATTTTGTATTATGAAATAAAATTCTTTGTTTGGTTAGAAGAATTCGCGTAACTAATTAGAAAATGGGATTTTAAGCAGCTGGTCCTTATTGGCAACAATAATTAGCCATTCCAATGTTTGACCAAGTATATATTTAAATATTTCAAAAATCAGAAAAAATTACCAAGTCACTTTTTTCAATAACAAAATAGCAATGTCTGATTTTTTTATTTTATTTGTAGGTTGCATTAAAAGTTCAAATTATAAAGCAAATTGGCAATTATTATATATAAATTTGGTGTCAGTTTAAAACTGTATTTACCGAGAATTGGTCAGTTTTAGCTCTAAGCCCACGCGTTATGTAAAATATCCTATTGATACTCCGCTAGAGTAGTCAGCACGTCACCGTTGTCCTCGATGTTTTTTTCCATCAGAGCTGGAGTTTGTTTATATCGTGCAAAAGCCGTCTGGTTGAACACAGTTGAAGACCTAGACAGAGTCAAATGTTGCAAATTTAGGAAGAGGTAAGCAATCTCTTGTTTTCGATTCGAACAGTGACAACTTCAAGCGGTGTTTACAAATAAAACATGCGACATGTCAGTACTTGAAACTCCTTACCAAATCAATAGTCAGTATTTTTCTTCAATTTCTTTTTTACGTTTTCGGTCTTGTTGTGCCGCAAATTAGGTTAGATATAGCAAACGTAGTTGACTCTGAAAAGGAAAGACCCAACTTTTAGGACACCCTGTGTATAAGCATACATCTACAGCGCCATCTACAGTTATCTAATTATTGCGGAGAGGAGAAACACTGCTGTGACAAATTCTCACAGATGACGTTACGGTATCTCATTTCATCCTGGACAGTTTTCCGGGCACGCGAAGATAGGTTGACAGATAATATGAAAAACTGGAAAACATTTGTGTACCGTAAAAAAGATACAAGGACAGTCAAAAATAATGATGCTGCATAATACACCCCTCTGTAGAGGGATGCAGGGAGGTCAATTTTTGAGAATGAGGCAGTAGAATATGTCTCTAATATCGGTAGAATAGTTGCTTCCCGGGCCATTCTCGGGAGAGAAAGTGTAAAAGTCGTCCATCGGACACATCTCTAAAGACGAAGTTAAGGGTAGATAAAGTTGATTCTGTGAAAAAAGGCATATGCTGATTTGTTTAAGTATCATACAATAATATCACATTTGAACTGTTTTTTGTTAAATTTTCAAATCGCTGCAGGCACCGCGTAAAAGTAGTTTTGAGGTGTGCATTGTCACTCGTCACTGGATCATCGGAATAAAAAAAAATCGAAATGGGTTTATTAGATGACAGGCTTCTTGAGGCAAGAACGTCGAGTTTTTATTTGTTTTCCAAATGTTTATATTTTTTGCAGCCTAGGAAGTCCAAAACACAATTTTTAGTTGAAAAAATCGACAATTTTGTATTGCAACAGATATAACCTACCTATTGGTTTATGTGCTTCTGCCCCCGTTGTAAAAAAAATCAGATCGGAGCAACATACTCAAATACCAATAACTCAGTTGTGCTCCGGTCAATTTGAAATTTTGGCACAATATTATTGAGAGATTGTACATAAGCACAAGAGAATACAAAAATGAATGAAAAAAAATAATACCTTGTACATTTTGGTGGAAGATTTATTGATAGGAACCCCTAAAAATATAATACAGAATACCATTATGCAGGGAAGAACATCGAGAATGATTTTTTTTTTTTTGATAACGCACGCTGACATAAGAATTTGCTTCTGTCAGCTTTCAGTGTGTGCTATCCCTAAAGGACTCTTGTGAAGCCAATAAGGTTAATTAAATGGCACATGCCACATTTTTTTATACAAACATTTCTCTGTATTTCACATGATATACATCCCGACAAACCTAACATTCTTCATGCCTAAATTGAACCGCACGTTTACCTGTAGCGATGGAAGATCTCTTGGGAGAACCACCCGACGCAAGGCTGTCATAGAGGCTCGGAAGACTCGAGAATATGCGGCTCTGAACCAGGAGACGCACATGCATCAGATTCTGATCCCGCGCACTCAGAGGATCGACACCAGGCAATGCCAGCCAATGGACAGAGACACCTTTGCTGCCATTTTGATCGAGAAACTCGAGGCTGTCAAGAGGGGCCAGGACCAACAGGAGCTGCTGGACAAGAAGCTGAGAGAGGTGAGCAGCGCTCGGCACGTTTTAAGGGTCTGTGATATGTTTTAGTTTGTGAATATAAATAAAATACAAGGTTGTATCAGTTTATTATACTCTGAGCGTTCAAATTTGCTCCCGGTTAGATTGAAAGGAGTTTACATTTTGAGAAGTGGTTTTAAGTGTTTTTCTCGAGATCTCTGGATGACGTACCGGGTCTAATATAAATTTTATCCTATGCAAGTAGCCCTACACTGCTGCTGGTCGTCAGTTCCAGGGGACGTATTGCATTGAGATCCCCAAAAAGTGAAAAAAGTAGCTTCTTTCAAAAAATGCCATTATATCGTTTGAACAAAATTTAAATTTATAAAACAAAATAGTTGAATTCTGAAGATCGTAAAGCAGTTATTAGTCTTTGTTATCAGCGTATCTCTAGCTCATAAAGTACACCCAGTTTTCAAGCGTTGGAACGCTGAATTACTCTAAAATTATACAAAATAATACATGTTTCTCTCAGGGCGAAGCAAGAGGATCTTACACAGAACTGCAATCCAGAGAACTAGCGAACGCTATTCGCGAAAAACTTCAATTGGAAGACGATAACGATCAAGATATACTTGATCAGCACGTGTCCAGAGTATTTTCTGATCTAACACCTGCAAGATCTCCAGGGTTCTCAAGTCCAAGGGTTCGGTCGCCACCAAGAAACAGGTAATTTATGAGAGATGAGACCTTCAAAAAAATATATGGCAAGATTATCAAGATGGCAGCAGCTAAAAAATAATATACCTGAATTTTCAAGATTAACATGGAATTCAGTAGCTTCTGACTGTACTAAAAACGTTGAATGAGGCGTTAATAGGTTGTAAAACACTTCAGCGATTTTAAAGCACAAAGAATTTGGAAAGATTATTTAAATTCTATTTCAATCCACTGTCGGATTATTATCCACCTGAGAAAACATTATCTTGCTCAGGTTTGTCCTACAACGTGTACTGTTGGGAAGAAATATACCAATAACAAGAGGTTACTGATATTTTTTTTTCAGACATGTACAGCCTTACTTGCGTTGCAGAAGAAAGGATAAAGATGGTTTTTCGACATTCAGCAGTGATTCTGGTAACGTCCATGATTTTGCAGAGGGCTCTGAACATAAGATGACCATGGTGAAGTCAAAGAGCATGCCTGAATATCCTGACGATAGATTCATTAGAGGTGCTTGTGGAAGAAGGTATGTCATTTAGTATACCCAGTGCTTTGAATATGGGTGATTTCTTAGCCTATACTAAATCTATTTTATTCAGTCAACTAATGCATTACAACAGTTATGGGTTTGTTTTACCGTGTTCTTGAAGTTGCTTGGCGTTTTTGGGGCGATGACTGGAGGTGTCGTGTGTGGTACGGACTGTCCGGCTATAAATTGGCCAACCTGAACTTTTTATATCTACCTAAAAGAAAAAGTTACACAGGGTGACAACTAGCAACTGGACGATTTTGAAATAAATATTACAGTAGAAATTTGCAAAATAATAAGATTTTATTAACATCAAAATGAATCTTACATTACACCATTTACAATGTGTGTTAAGTATGGCACATAATGTCGTGAAAATGGTAACTCTTTAAATACACCCACAGAAAAAAAATTAGATTGATAGGTCTAGAGACCTTGGAGGCCACGGCACATCCAAAACGTGAAATGAGTTTTCCTGTTAAAAGGTTGCAGACAACATTCGTTGATGCGTTGGCGCTATGTGCCGTGGCACCATCTTGCTGAAACCTCACATTCCTGGTGTTATTACTGTTATTTTTGGACCAGGTTGCTGTTTTCACATTAGATTACCTGTTGTTTTTAAATTCTTCACCCATCTTAAGATTATATGGTGAGATGGAACAGCTCTACCCCTACCAATAATAAAGTGTGCGACGCAAAAAAGCCGCTGCGTAGTGATCACTGACTTCGGATAAACGTGTCGTATGCAAATACGCGATATTCTATCGTCCGCTGCTCCATTGCTAATAACGTTGCACTTGGCCCACTCTAATTGCATGAAGCTTCGTACTGTGCGTTCTAAAAACATCCAAATCTCGGTACATAAAAGTTATAGTTTTTCATGTAATATTTTTTTGTATACGTCTTAGAAAAGTGCTATCGAATAAAGTTGTATTTTTTTAAATGAAATATCCTGTATATTTCCAATGAAAATGATAGTCCCTTTTTCTGATTCCAAATATGTATAAGGTTTGTTAAACATTTTTATTATTTTAGCCAAAAACTTGATGTTTGTGTGTCATTATATCGTTATAATTTCTATTCCAGATCGTCAAAGAAAACGTTAACTGAACTGACGGATAGTGGAGTGTCGGTGGTATCCGACACTCCCCCGGTGCTTCCACCTGTCAAAGACAGTCGAGTGCTGGCATGGCTCATGGATTCCGACAAGAGCGGCAGAGGCGCTAGCCACACGCACAGTGAAATGTCGTTGAAGCACAGAAGCCACAGAACAAGCAGCGCAACCTCACCTATAGCCAGCAGGCACAGGAAAGGGTTCAGCTCTAGATCCAGTTCAGTTGAGAGGAATAGTTGTAGTGGTAAGTTGGCTTGTCCTCTTGTAACTATTCCAAAATACACCCACTGTTTTAAAAATCTCCTGCATTAAGATACATATAGTCAAAATCACGAAAGATTACTATTACGTCATACCATAAATTGTACTGAAGTAATCAATGGACGTACGTCGCTGATAAAATCCCGATGTCAGGAACAAAATGACAACAAATTTATATTATGATCTTGCGAAGTTTCACTGATCATTTTTATTTTCATTTCATTTCATGGTTTTGAGTGATACCTTAATTATAATTTTAATGGGGAATTTTTGTTTATAAAAAAAACAGTTATAAGGAGAATACCTTAAGATAGGAACACCAAAGGTCAAAGTATTATTAGAAAACAACCTAACCTGCTTTATCATAACCTAACTATTCATCTTTCAAATATGATCGATCATCCAACATGAAAACAGCGTCTATCTTTGTCGGATACATGCAAATTAGCAATACAGTTTGTTTAGACAATAAAATTCTGTTTTTCTCTGTCTAGCATATCTGAAACTTCATTAAAAGTATTCACAAATCTCTGTCGTTTGTCTTTACTACAGACTAAAATGATTACGTAATCGTCATCTTTCGTGATTTCGACTATAACAAATATCCCGCTAATCTCTGGAATGTCAGTAATATCTTAGTTTTAAACAGCATTTACGAAACTTCTTAGTTGATTAATGTTCCTGCTTTTTACCAAACACCTCGCATTGTAATATATTCTTTTCACAACTTTTAAAACAATGTTTGTAAATAATTTAAATTTGATCATGTTTGCACTGTTGTAAATACTTACGTTTATACCGTCCTACTTTTTGATTATCTGTACTACTAGGTCTGTAAATTGAGTGTTGAGACTGATTTTTTGAAATTTTTTCATTCAATAAATACAATTTTATTCACCTTCAAAATTACTTCCTACTGAAGCGACTCAGCACTGGAGACAGTTTTTCCACTCTTCATAGCAGTCCCACAATGAGTTTCCTTGAGGTAAATTTTGAACTTTAGGTAGAGAAAAAAGTCAGTAATAAGGAGGCTGAGGAGTCACAGGAATATTTTTACTAGCCAAAAACTCGTTTATTGGCATTGCTGTGTGTCAAGGAGCATTATCTTGAGGCAACAACCAGTTGTTCTTGATCTGATAAAGGTGGTGTGTATTCTGTCGATATTTTCATCGGTTCTTGAAAATGATTGCCTTCCGCTTCGTGATTCATTTTCAGGCGACTCTCTCCCTTCTGAAAACGCCTTTAACGACCAAAAAACCTGGGCTCTTGACAAAACACTGTCTCCATAGGCCTGCTAAAATTTAGCAAGAGTTTCTATTGTGCTGTGCCCAAGTCTGAAGCAAAACCTGGTAGCACACCGTTTCCCGAAATTGATGTCTCATTTTTATAACAGTATAGAAAAAACCTTACAAAAAAAATCGCTACGGACAACCAAATCACTCGAGCAAGTTCGAACTTGTATTGAAGGCGGATGAGATGTCCCCTATCCCACCTCCAAGCTCGGCACCTCCAGTGTTGAATGATCAAGTCAAGTCAAGTCATCGTTGGTTGTCAGAGCGGTCCGTGGGACCTTAGGTCTTGAGTCACAGTGTCGGTTTGTAAGTCTGTCAGGTCTGGTAACCCAGAAACCAGACAATTTTGAGGAAAAAAGGGGAAGGAAAGGAGAGAAGGAAGAACGAGAGCAAAGGGGAAGAAGAGAATCTTTTAGGATATGCAGCGTTTAGGCATTGTTAAAATCGCTTCACAGATTTTGATATGGTCTAAAAATATTTGATTTTTTCTAAAGATTGTGTAAAAATGCTCCAATTTTGGTTGTTCTAAGTTCACGAGTTAATTTTGATTACAGTGCGAGCCGCGGCCTAATGATGGAACGCTACGTTGCCAGTATTATCACTTAATTAATAAATCCAGTCAAAAGTAATAAGACCAGGGTACTACATCAAAATCCATACCCCAGCAAGAAGCTGTGCATAATTGTCGTAAAGAATCTTGTACAGTCTGAGGGGTCTGTGATGCAGGATGGCCACGCAACCTAGAAGTCAGAAAGTCATGGAAATGTTAGGGCAACTGAAAGATGATCAGGACAAAACACTACAGGATAGCATTTTCTGTCATTTGTGATATGCTATAAATAGTTTTTGGAATAGAACTGAACCTTGAACAAAATATATTGGGAACAAAATTTTAGCATAGGATTGATCTGACAATTTCGTTAATAATCGGCAAAGGGAAAAGTCAGGCAAGTTGTGATGCCTGTTCGCGTGGCCACCCTGAGGGACGTCTCGCCTGCGGGTATAAGATATATTTTTTATAAATTGTTCTAGGAGCTACTTTAGGCCCCGCTCAACCGTTCGTAGCCGACCCCAGTATGCCGCCATTGCCTTTGCCAAACACTGCGATTCAGCTGGAAGAAGCCAGGCGCAGGTTAGAAGATGACATGAGGACCAAAAAACAGAGGTATATATTAATCCGATTCTTATTTTACCCAAGTATACAATTTTTGTAATTAAATATATTTAGTGTAACATGAATGCGTTTTTTAATTAAATAATGAATATACCATGTTTTGGACGTCTTGACAACGGCTTGCAATACACAAGGTGTTTAGAAACAGATATGTTAGAAATAAAGCCAACATAGACAGCAGCAAAAAAAAAGTAAGTAAAAGTTTACATCTTTCTCAATTTGCAAGATTCGGGGCTGTCTATGTTTTATACCGTAAGCAGTATAACATTCCTACAAATTGATAGCCTTTGTAGAGTACTGTAGTGATGTAACAAATATTCGCATTCGCGTATATTCGTATATTTTGTATATTCGCATTCGAAAAATTCCCGCGAAAATACAATTATTAGATGATAGTAGGTTAATAAAAACAAAATCAATTCATTTCTTATGTTTTTAAATACAAGAAAAAGTAACTTAACCTCGTAATCACATTATCAGTCTTCACTTAATCATTTGCCATTATTTATTTGTTTACTTTACTTTGGGCAATGAAGCTTAACAATTAAATTTTCATAGAAGTTATATTATAGGATAAAACAATAGAATGCAATGGACAAACAAAAACCAATTCTTCTATTAAATTTGTATCATTTTTTACTTAAGTTTTTAATGTTACATAATCAACTTCTTGAACCAAAACTAAAAATAATAATCTAGGAAATACAGTATTCTTCTACAATAAACTATAAATATAATCATTTTTTATAAGAATCATGAGTAAAAACAAATAAAAATCAAATTCTCATTAGAACTTGTACCACAAAAATTAAATGTAATTGAATCAAACAAAAACTAATTCTTCTATGAAACTTTCATCAGTCTTCAACTTAAAGTTTAGATAATCATCTTGAATAAAACGTATAAACTCATTAATTCTCGGAACAAAATACAAACGGAACGCACTTCGTTCAAACGAGACTGTCATAGACAATTGGCGCCAGAACAAAAACTGAATATTCGGATTCGCGAATCTTCAAAAAATTACATTCGTTACATCACTAACGAGTAGCTCTGTTTGCTTAAGACTTTGATATGACATGAAGAACTCAGGAACACATTATTTTGCCGAAAATTGTTGACGCGTTCACAACCTTCTTTGACAAATGTCGTCAGCTGCCAGAATTTCTCAGTGAAGAGATCCAGGCAAACTTTATCTGAGTGATTCTGCTCTCTCGTTTTCAAGAATAGGGGTCCAAATTAGTGCATTGAACATGTGGATTTTGTGGCGTAGCCATCACGATTCCCAGACATTGCTCGTTTTGATTGTTCCCTGATTTTAGTAACCACAATGTAATTAAAGATATCAATTTTATTCCAGGTCGTCATCGAGT